GGGATTCGAACCCGCGACCCTCAGATTGCGAGTCGAGTGCCTTAACCACCTGGCCATGCCGGGCCATCTACTTTATACTTGCTGTCATTAAGTGTAACATTCGTTAAGTACCTACATATGGAAGTCTTTCAAAAAACTTTAGTTTGATGAAACTAAGTACGTGTGAAATATTTATACAAATACTTATGATATAGTATGGTATAATTATTAGTATTATTTGATATTACTTTTTAAATCTCTTAATTATAATATTATTTAAGCTAGTTCACTTAACGTTTCTGTTTGTATAATTACATTGCCCAAATTCAGTAGAATACCAAGAAAAAGATATAGACATGAAACATAACTTTTTATGATTGGGAAAACAAAGAAATATCTGGCTTTGTATCCATCTGAGTACAAGAAATTAAAAAAAACTGCGATATCAAATATCAAGAATTGAGTATTATTATAACTAGCAGAAACGCCACCCTACGGCGGATGTCTGTGCTAGTAATTATTAATCGTAGTATTCATATCTCATTGAAAAAAAATTACAAAAAGTGAAAATTTTCTAAAAACGGATTTTTCTGGGAAGTACTGAACAGAATAAATGTTCGAATTGTGCTCTTTAGTCATACGCAACTCGTTGCATCAAAATGATTCAATGTAGAGAGCTCAACATTTTCATAACTTTTACTCATATAAACTGTAATTTTTTGTATATTAAAAGTAGTACCGTTTATTGAAAAATGATAGTTTTTTAAGAACTCCACTTTCTCAGTACTACATTTAAAAATTACATCAATAAAGATATAATCAAACCCTCACGTACAGTCTTATTGAAAGTCGTGTTCTGATTGTAAGGAGAGTACTTTTATTTATAATTGTGTTCTATGACAAAGAAATGATTGTTATACATACCACAGTTATTTTTTTAATTGTCTGAATCTTGAATATCCAAAGTATGATATTTATTATGGATTATTATTTGTGGTCTCATTCAGCTGGCGAAGAAGTTGTGGTTAAATACATAGATACTGACATACACGCTGCGACCATTATAGTAAGATTTATATGTTTATTATTATTATGATATACGCAAAAAGTTAAAACTATTTATTCATGGTCATGCTTTTAAATCTGTAATCCATCTGTTAAATTCTACCCTTCTCTGATATTATGTTTGTTTTTCAACTTACGCCAGTTTGACTGCAACTGCCGCCAGCATAGGAGCAGCAAGTGTTCCAAGTGCAGGCCTGGTAACCATGTTACTAGTGTTGTCGGCTGTTGGACTTCCAACTAAAGATATTACTATGATTGTTGCTGTGGACTGGCTACTGTAAGTTTTTAATTTGTATCGTATAATAAAGGCACATTAAATATCCTTATCGTAAGATTGTGTATTTTCAAGAAAATTTAATAAATAGATTTACACTAAATATAACATTCATGAAAGTTTCCTTTTTGGCTTCATATCTTCATCAACCAGAAACTTAATCTTAAAATATTTCTGCCTAGAATAAAGTTTTATTATAGTTTGTTGTCTTTAACAGCAAATATTTCAATTCATTGTTGTTGTTTTTTTACCCATATTGCATACACCTAGGTTTGTTTGGTGTAAAACACAAAGCTATGCAATGCGCTGTCTGTGCTCTGCTCACCACAAGTATCGAAATCTGACTGTTAGTGTTATAAGCCTACTGACTTACCAATGAGCCGCCGATAGGCTACGCCTGGGAACCAAAGAATATTATTGTGAATTTTTTTCTTAATCTTTAAATTTTCTGAAGGACTATATTAGGTTTTTATCAGAAAAAAAATTAAATATTACTAAAAATTGGAAAATAAATTCATAGGTTTAAAATAGTGAAATACGAAACGCTTTACGTGTAAGACCAATAACAAAAACATATACAGGCTAAACTAATACTGTAGTCCCTAGCTCGATGATTGTAATTTTGTAACCGAAACTAGTCGGCTGTAACTAATATAGATTTTTACCTTTTATTGTACAAAAAACTTCGGATTTTATGTTTTTTACTTTTATTATAGTAGCAAGAAAAGAAATTATAAAAGTGGATTGAGTATTTTTTCTTTTCTTCTCCCTTCAGTTACTATTCTCCTTGTTCAACAGACATATTTTTTTATTCAAATTTAGAGATCGTCTCCGAACTTCTATCAATGTCCTTGGGGATGCTTTTGGTGCTGGTATTGTTGATCATCTATCAAAAGCGGAGCTGGAGAAAATTGACGCTGAACATGCTCGGATAGAAATGGAAATGGCAGAGAGGAAGTCGTCTCGGGCCTCTAGGGGAAGCCTTGTTCACCACAGAAGTTTGGACAAATCTAACAGCAAAACGGATAATCCAGGTGGCAGCCCAAGTGGGCGAGTGGATAATAGCGAAACTCAGATTTAAGGTTGTTTATGAAAGGATCAGAATATAAAAACGGAGGGACATCTAAGTCATGAAAATGGTAAACTCTTCATGAAGAATATATGTTAATATATTCCGACACCAGTTCTGTTTTCGTTTTATATAAAATAAATTGTAACTCACATATTGTTGTTTATTTCAAAGTCTCAAAATATAATTAATTATTTAGCAATATTTAAGGAACTTGTCTATCCAAAATGAAACATGAGATAAATTAAAATAGTAAGATAAACTTAGTAAGATATAAGAATGAAATGCATAATAATTCTGCTTATAAAGCTGTATCTCACAAAATATGTTAATTATTTACGACTATTTTGAAAGTAATTGTTGCAAAATAGCCTCAAACGGGGATATGTTTTTTTTGAGTACACAAACTAGAAATGAAGCAAGAGATTTGTTTCGGTTAATTCATTAATATTCAAGTTTATAGCCTCGTATCTTAAACAACTTGGTTTTTCTTTGTTAGATAATTAGAAAAATAGCCTAGAATTGACCAGTTAAACTATAACTTCTTACTAATATCAGTAAGTATTTGTTTTCAGTTTATAGAAGAAGCGCACAAACTTTCGTTAACTTGTACAGAATTAAATTAAGGATCTAAGAGCATATATAAAGTGAGCCAGTTTTACAACCAAATTTTATTTTTCTTCTTAAAGATTTCAGAAAATGGAAACTTAGTATAAATGCGTAAAAATGTCTTTAAGCCTAATCTATGAGAGATTACTAAAGAAAAAGTGGAAGAAAACTTATAATTATTTTAAATACTTTTTCATAATAGTTTCTAGTTCATGAAATAGCTAAAGAGTATGCAGCATGTGAGTTTATTTTAAATACATTTATATTATAGTTTTACCAGTGTCATCTAGTGGTACAAATGTTACTTTAGCTATGATAAATTATTGAGTGTTATAGATAACGGATGATATACAATTAGATGATTAAATAAGATATAATTTGTATTATAATTTTCGCGTAACACTGATTACCAGGTTAAATGCCTTTAGCCACAAAGTTTGTCACAAACGCTAAATATCTCTACCAGACGCTCCTTTATAGAATTCGCTTTACTGTAATCTATATAAATACTAAGTATGTTTTTTACAAGTTGTTAACATTTTAGTCTTGCATTTTAGAAAATTGTTAGGTTTTCTAGTTAAAATAAATTTCACCAATAAATTAATGTTGCTATTTGTTTTGTCAAACACCTGAAATGTATTTATTGAATGAATAAATTGTAAATGCCTTGTTTGCACACACAGGTTAAAATACTTTACAACTTAATACAAATCCCTAGCCAAACAGTAAATTACAGTACAATCATCTGGGATCATTTGCTTTCTTATCTATTTATTGTACGATAGGATGCAGATTCGGAGTATACGGTGAAAATAATACATTTAAATAATAAGAATAGATGTGGTCAGTGTTTATGGTGAAAGTGATATATGCGAATAAAACCAAGAGTTCGAGTCTGGATGTATGGCGAACGTGGTGCATTTGAATAAAACCCAAATGTTTGGTCTGAATGTATGGTGAGCGTGCTATATTTGAATAAAACCCAGATGTTTGGTGTGAATGTATGGTGAGCGTGATATAATTTGAATAAAACCCAGATGTTTGGGCTGAATGTATGGTGAGCGTGATATATTTGAATAAAACCCAGATGTTTGGTGTGAATGTATGGCGAGCGTGATATATTTGAATAAAACCCAGATGTTTGGTCTGAATGTATGGTGAGCGTGATATATTTGAATAAAACCCATATGTTTGGTCTGATTGTATGGTGAGCGTGATATATTTGAATAAAACCCATATGTTTGGTGTGAATGTATGGTGAGCGTGATATATTTGAATAAAACCCAGATGTTTGGTGTGAATGTATGGTGAGCGTGATATATTTGAATAAAACCCAGATGTTTGGGCTGAATGTATGGCGAGCGTGATATATTTGAATAAAACCCAGATATTTGGTCTGAATGTATGGTGAGCGTGATATATATTTGAATAAAACCCAGATGTTTGGTCTGAATGTATGGTGACCGTGATATATTTGAATAAAAAACAGATTTATAGTCTGAATGTATGGTGAAGGTGATATATTTAAATAAAAACCAGATATCTGGTCGGAATATATGGTGAACATGATATATTTGAAAAACAAAACAAACAGATTTCTGGTCTGAACGCATGGTAAACGTGATGTATTTGAATTAAAACAAGATTTCTGTTCTGAATATATGGTGAGTGGGATATATTTGAGAGAAACAAGCAAACAGATTTCTGGTCTGAATGTATGGTGAACGTGATATATTTGAAAAACCCAACAACAGATTTCTGGTCTGAATGTGCGGTGAGCGTAATATATTTGAATAAAAACCAGATTTCTGGCCTGGTTATATGGTGAGCGTGATGACTCTCATCTGAGTATAATAATGTTAATATTTTAAGTTATAGAATTATGGGACATACAAAGATTGAGGGAAAGCGTCCCTTTTGTTATTAATTTTATATATTTGGAAATATCATTGCTTCTATGTATTTAAGTTCTTCTATTCGTCATATATTAATAGTAACAATAAAAGTTTTCATGCATCACTCTACGTAAAACCCCTATGTATTTTTAACCAGTAAGATGAATAGCCAATACATATTGTGTCCGAACGTTCTGTCAAGATGTATTTTAAAAGCTTTCGTAGATTCCACATTGTGGTGTGGGAATAGCCGATGTTTATTGTTTCCAAATGTTGTTTCAAGTTGTAATGAAAATGCCCACCCAGTTTCCACATTGTGGTTTGGGAATAGCCGATGTTTATTGTTTCCGAATGTTGTTTCAAGTTGTAATCAAAAGATTTACCTTGTTTCCACATTGTGGTGTGGGAATAGTCGATTCATATTGTTTCCCAATGCTGTTTCAAGTTGTAATAAAAAGGCCCACCTAGTTTCCACAGTGTGGCGTGGAAATAGACGATGTATATTGTTTACGAATGTTGTTTCAAGTTGTAATAAAAAGGCCCACCTAGTTTCCGCAATCTGGTGTGGGAATAGCCGATGCTTATTCTTTACGAATGTTGTTTCAAGTTGTAATAAAAAGGTCCCACCTAGTTTCCACATTGTGGTGTTGGGAATAGCCGATGTTTATTGTTTACGAATGTTGTTTCAAGTTGCAATGAAAATGCCCACCTAGTTTCCACATTGGTGTGGGAATAGCCGATTCATATTGTTTCCCAATGCTGTTTCAAGTTGTAATAAAAAGGCCCACCTAGTTTCCGCATTGTGATGTTGGAATAACCGATGCTTATTGTTTACGAATGTTGTTTCAAGTTCTAGTGAAAATGCCCACCTAGTTTTCACATTGCGGTTTGGGAATAGCCGATGTTTATTGTTTCCGAATGTTGTTTCAAGTTGTAATGAAAATGCCCACCTAGTTTCCACATTGTGGTTTGGGAATAGCCGATGTATATTGTTTCCGAATGTTGTTTCAAGTTATAATGAAAATGCCCACCTAGTTTCCACATTGTGGTGTGGGAATAGCTGATGTATATTGTTTCGGAACGTTGCATTAATTTGTCTTTCAAAAGTCCACCTAAATTTCATATCGTAGTGTGGGAGTAGCCGATGTATGTTGTTTCCGAATGTTGTGACCATACCTTCGTAAATACTAGGCTGTGATGTCAGAATGTGTAAAAAGACAATTTTAAGATACAGTATTTGTACAGAAAATTTGGGTTCCTTTCTCTCTATCAACAAGTTACGTAAAAGTACCCTATGTTTTAATGATATATGAATGTGCATGCATTGAACACGTGTACCATGTTTGACGTCATTCGACGATAGCCTCGAAGATGTCTGTAGAGTTGGTATGTAGGTTATTAATGATATAAAAGGCTAAATTAATATGTAGTTTGCGTAATTGTTGTGTCTAGTACCCTTGTGGCTATTATAGCATGTTTAGTAATTGTATATATCTTTGTAATTATGAGGTTGAAGCACTTTTAACTTGGTTTTGTATGACCAAATCCTTGATAGTTTATATAAGAAACAATTAGTGAATAATATTAACTTTTGAGTTGAGTTTTATTTTATTTTATTTAGGTTTGCATCAATTTAGCACCTTCTCAAAAAATGAATAAAAAAAACCAGGTCTACTGCATTATTCATATAATAAAATTATTGTGTAAGTAACAGTTACGGTTATTACAATTAAAATAATGTATATTCATAAAAACAACTGGTTAAACTTCATTAAAAGTTTATTAGAGCGTTTATTCAAGTTCAAAATATTCGATGTTAAACAATAATGAAAATATATTTTCTATAGCTACAACAGTGGTTATTTACAGGGAGAATAGAAAGTATTATAACTGTTTATTTTTGAAATATATTTACTGCAGTTCTGTGTGTGGCAAGAGAGTTTAGTGAATTTGTAAAATATTTTGCGCTTGCTGATTAACTATTGATTAACTGCATTGATTTTACTATTGTTCTAACTTTTTTCTTTAAAGTATAAAGATATTTAACGAAGTTGTTTGTGGGAGTTATGGTATTTATTAGAAGATTCTCGAACAACTTGGGATTCTGTATTTAATTCGTATATACTAAAACACCTAAAATCATTTCAATCAATTATAACAAGAACTGTCGTGTTTTCAGTATGTTTCGTCACAAATTAAGAGGGAATTTGAGATGTGTAGTCAATGATTTGGAGGCAAACTTATTCAACGTGTTATCTGTTGTGTGTTTGGTTTCAAGGTAGAAATTAACACAAGAGGATATTTCTACTTTTTTATTTCAAATATATTTATTTAGTTCATTTTTGCTTACAAGTAAAGTTTATTTAAAATAATGAAAGAACTAAATAATGTTATTTTCCAGAAGTTTTCAAAGTCATTGTCGGTGTTCATAATCCAAACTGAAGCCACTATTCTGAGACAACCTAACGATCTAGTCTTATTTGATTTCTTATATGTTCATTTTAATAGTTGACTTTTGAAATATGATTAATGAAATAAAATTCATAGGAACAGTATTTGTTTCTGTGTTCAAAAATATCTAATTCTTAGTGTCGTCATTTTGTATAGCATAAATAAGCAGCATGAAGTAATTTCCCCTTCCATGGATCAACAGTAAGCTTTCAGCTTATAATACCAAAAGTCTAGTTTTTGTCCTGTGCAGTTGGCACAGCACAAATATCCAGCTGTGCATCTTTGTGCTCAATAACAAACAGTAGTAATTGGCTATAAAATAAACTGTTTACCTATTTCAGCCGATTTTCTTTCACTGAAAACACTAAAATGCTTTTACAAGGCATATTCATAGGCTTCCTTGCAAGAGACACTGTTAATATAGAAATTATATTGAATAAATATTTGTTTTAGGACCTATTTCTGACTTCTGGATTGCTTTAGTAGGTTTAATAAAGTTATTTTGAGTTTATTTAAAAGTTTTTATTTTATCGCTTTGGTTACACAAAGTAGTCAAAATAGGAATTCTTGATATGCAAGCACACATACCCAAATGTACAGGGGGTGGGCAAAAAGTCTGGGCAACCCCTTATTTAAAGCTGAAGTTAACAATTTAGTTTGTTCGTGTTTTGTGAGGCTTTATCAAACAGACTATGGCAAAATAACGATAGGAAACAACTGACGCTTTGAAACAAAAATTATTGAAAGTTTCGCCAAGGTCACCCCTGATATGCTAAGGGGGGTGTCACATAGCACATGGAGACATCATTCTATTTCATGAGAATGAAGGGCAACAGACAGACATTTGGGATTATTAATCGAATCTTTTATCAGTCACTGTCAATATGGGATGTAAATATGTCAATATGTAATAAATTATTTCTTTCATGTACACTATCTTTATTTGATGAAGAGGAAGTCCAGACTTTTTGCCCACCCTGTATATATGTTGTGTAAATAATGAACAACAAGTACAATCCTTAATATGTCGGTTATTAAGTCTGAAAATTGCCCATAATTAATCCTGGTGACATTAAACAAAGCCCCCAGTGTTTCAGCGGTATGTCTGTGGATACCTGTGGTGGGCAGAGCACAGTTAGCCATTTGTGTAGCTTTGTACTAACTACAAACAAACAAACATTAAGCAAAACTTTTTCTCCATCTCTAGAACGCTGTGAACAATAATACAATTAATTATACACGATAATAAATAGGGTATAAACCTGATAAAGAAAACAATGTAATGTTTTTCTCATTATCAAAATAATGAATTTCGGCAAGCAAAAAATGCAAAGCCCAATATATCATTTGATTATCCACTTGTGACTTTGTTAGACGTGTTTTTGTCTTCTTTTTACTTTCAATTTGCTTTGTCCAGAGTTGCCTAAGAGGGATGTGGTTTTCTGAAATCGGTTTAACCTAGTTACCAGTAGCGAATTGAATAATACATTAAGCTTCAGAAACACCATACACTGACGACAAACAGAATAAAGCTAATTCACAAATGCTTGCATTGTGAAAGTTGTATATTCAAAAATCATTGAATGCAATCAACACAGTATTGTTCCATAGTTACAGCCACCTAAGCTGTTTGTTCACCAAGTCAACGTTCAGGTATTCTATGACCTAATTTGGACAATAATATATACTTAGTCTAGAATTGTCTGTGATATAAGAAGAAAAAAAGACGGGTATTTAATGTGACATTTCATGCTTAGTTTGGACCGTTTTTCTGATTCGTATTATAGGGGAAATGTAACTATCTGATGTGATATTAACTTGTAAACGTTTTCATACATACACAAGTAATCATCATAAAGTAATCTTTGACACAAATATGTGTGACACATAATTATTTGTTATATATTTTGATATAGTATCATGTGTTGAGTATTATCAGCAAAATTTAATACGTTGAACTAAGGTATCAACTCGGTCTTATAATCTTTAAGCAGCTGAATTTACCAGTTAAAATACAGTACTTTGATTAAATGAACATATATTATACAACTTGGTAAAGTAATGCATGTGGAAAATTACTTTATCGTCGTGTAATTTTACCGTTTCCCGTTAGTATTGGAAAATATTTGGTTCAAAATTAGATTTAGTATAAAAATACGGAAGCTCAAAACTAAACTAAAAAAATAATAATTTGGAAGAACGTAAGACATATTTAATTGTAATAAATTTGAAATCTATAAGAGTTAAATATTATTTTCTGTAAACATTATAGTTGATAAGTTAGACTGGTATTCATGGAAACGTGTGGACTGCTCTATTTTATATTTCATCAACTTATGTCATCGCTTCAATGTTTATCATTGTTTCGTATTAGAATTTCGAATGGTCTGAAATTGAGTTAACTAATAATTAAAATTTAGTAGTTAAATTGTACGTTGGATTTAGTATTTAGATAAATGCCGATATATAGTCAGTTTGTAATATTTGCCAACAAGATTTTAACACAAATACGTTTTAATATACACTTA